CCACCCCCAGCATTACCATCATCTTCCTCCAGCGCATCCGGGTGGGAAACGAAGATTGGCTCTGACGGGTACGCATCCGGCTCCTGCCACACCCAGGTCTCCTTGGTTTTCACGTTCAGCTTGCACAGCTAAAGGTGGGGACAGCACACAACCACAGAGCTCAGAAATACTCCTTGTTGTCCCCAGATCGAAGGCATCCCCTGTTGGCTGATATTTACCCTGTCTGGGACAAAGTGGTTGAGCCCCAGCCCGTAGGTGTACGTGTACGGCTTCCCTCCGTACTTCCTGTAGTTGATCTGGGGGAACTCAAAGGCTACAAGGAGGAGTAAATGTGCATGAATGCTGAGGGTTGGGGGGACACGGTGTGCAGGCAGCACTGGCTGCTGTGGCCGGGGGGAGCCGGGCTGGCATCGTACCGTGCCGGGGCCCTGAGAAAATCACCTCTGGCTCCAGCCAGATGGTCTCGTCACTGCGCAGCGTCGCTGTGGCCGTCGTGTAGGGCAGGGTGACCAGGTTCTTCCCTGTGTCAGCCTGTGGCAAAGAGAAATAAATACCCAAGAGATTGCAGAAAGGCTTTGGATTATTTGCACAGAGCTGTAGCAAAGAGCACTGAGCAGGGAGGGCAGTGACGTGTGGCAGGAGGCGACTGCTGCCGTGTGCTTGGCAGTGCTGCAAGAACTGTCCTGATCCTCAGCCCAAACACAGCTCCCCTCCCTGCTGGAGGCATTCAGGGGTTTCATTAAGCACTGCCACGTGGGCTGGCACTTCTCACTTGATCCACAGCCCAGTGAGCTCCGTGAGAGGCTCTGCTGACCGGTCCCCTGCAGCCCTTGGCCCACCCAGCAGCCACCACCAGCAGGGTCATGGAAAGGAACCCAGCAGCTGCCAGCCAGAGAGCTGTCTGTGCCAGGCTGGCAGCTCCAGGGACCTCACACCGAGGGCTGGAGGATTTAACCACACGTGCTTGGGCTGTGGCTGCTCCCTTCTGTGCTTTGAGCAGATGCATAATTAACTGCTGCCATGAACAGTAACACATGGAGTCATCAAAGAGTTGGGGTTGGAAGGGACCTTAAAGCTCAGCTCATTTTCCTTGCTATGGCCAGGGACACCTTCCACTAGACCAGTTACTCAGAGCTCCACCCAGCCCAACCTTGGACACTTCCAGGGGATGGAGCAGCAACAACCTCACTTGGCAACCATATAAATAAACTAGAAAAACATCGATCAGCTAAAGGAAATACAAAGTTTGTCTGAAGGCCCATACTTCAGGTTTTCTCTCTTGATGAAAAGGTTGAATTTGAAGCAAGTGGGGCAGGAGCCTGGCAGGGAGAGGAGCAGCTGCAGTACCTTGTCGATGCTCAGGGGCAGGACGTATCTGCGGGCCTCGGGCTGCGGCGCCTTCTCCGCCTGCCGCTTCACCTCGTCCCAGTTGGCCCGGAGGTTGGCCAGGTACAGGTAGTTGTAGACAAACTCAAACCTGCACCAAACAGCACCACAGAGACAAACACAGCTGGCCTTTGCAGCTGCAGGGGAAGTGTAGGTGTGTTTTGCCAAAAATTCATAGAAGCCTAGAATGGTTTGGGTTGGAGGGTTCTTAATGTTTATCTCGTCCCATCCCCTGCCATGGACAGGGAGACCTTCCACTGTCCCAGGGTGCTCCAAGCCCTGTCCAGCCTGGCCTTGGACACTGCCAGGGATGGGGCAAAACAGAGTGACAGTCCAGCTCCTCAGCAGAGCTGAGCTGTGTGTGCACCACAGCCCCTGTCAGGAAAACCCAGCAACTGCTGGTGTTCAGCACAGGCACAGGAAGGGGCTTGGAGCAACCTTGCTCATGCCAGGGGGTGGAACAAGATGAGTTTATGGTCCCTTCCAACCCAAAGCAGTCTGGAATTCTATGATTCTGGGCCAGGATCAGCTCAGCTCAGGGTGTCCTGGGTATGCAGCCAACACAGGGCTGAGCTTCATCATTTCAGTGCCACATTTCTGTGTTTACTTGAAGAGCAGCATTCAAGCCTCACACACACCCTGCTCATTGCAGCCTCAGGAGCCAGAATAGCATCAACCCTTCACCAGTCACTAACATTTCTTAAAGATAAAAGTAAATAACAGATAAAAGTATTTTTTTTCCTGGAAAAGGAGTGTCAAGCAGGCTCCCTGCACCTCTGGAGAGCTCAGTGCTGTATAGTCTACATGTCAGCACGCGTTAGATGTTCAGTGGGTTGGTGGAAGTGCCAGGGCTGTGCCAGGGCAGGGAGGGGGCTGTGGTGCAGGGGGCAGTGCTGGTGCCCAGGGAGCCTCGGCCTCACCCCTTCCAGGTGCACAGGTCCACGATCAGGAACCCGTTGTCCTCGTAGGTGTTGATGTGGTGGAAGAGGTTGAAGGCCGAGGTGCGGTACTTGAGGTTGAGGAGCCTGCCTTTCTTCTTCTCTGCCACGTGAAGCCACACCTGCCAAGCACACAGCAGCTGGGCTGAGGCTCAGGGAAATGAAGGTGAAGCCAAGGGACCCCCCGAGCCAGGTCTGGCTGCCCAGTGCAGCCCAGTTTGGGCTGAGCCCGTGCTTACCCCCATGGTCTCGTTGGACTCGAAGCAGTCCATGTAGTTGGCTCCCCAGAGGCTCCAGGAGGAGAGGAACTTGAGCAGGTTGATTTTCACTGGTGTCTCCACAAACACAATGTAGTTTGGGGTCAGCCCAAAGCTGTTGGGAAAGGCAGGGGAGCACATGAGGCTCACTGGGGTCAGTTTGGACAAAAACCATGGAGCTGCTTATCTTAAACACATGGATCATCACTCAAAATGACCCTGATTTTGGTCAATCGCCTAATTTTCATTGCTGATTACATGTGAAAGCTAGTCCCTGCTTCCAGCTGACCCCATGGAATGTTACCTGTGGACATAGGAGGGCTTGAACCTGTCACTGCAGGGGAACTGCACCACCACCTCCGACTTGTTCATGGGGTCTTCCTTGTCTGGAATGGGACAGGTGAGAGGTTATGGAGGCTGCACCTACAGCCTCTACCCAGCAAATTCCTGCCTTTAACACAAAATTCATCATTTAAAAGCCACCTGGAAGTGACTTAAATACAGCATGAATAAAATAAAAATTAAAGGAGCTTAGAAAAAGCTTAACTGGATAACAAAGTTCATTTAAAGGACAAAGAAATGATTCATAAGGGAAAAGTTTCCCAGCTGGCTCCGAGGAGGCCTTGACTGACCTGCCTGCAGAGGAGGAATCCGGATGATGTTGTAGGCCAGGGCAAAGTTTTTCCCAAAGCAATTGCCGATGTTGTAAACAGTGCCATCATTCTCAATGTGGGGATGAGCTGTTGCCCCATTGACAGACACATATTTACAGAGATCCACCTGGAGAACAGCAGGGACA